CCTCCTCTTCTCCAGGCTAAACAATCCCAGTTCCCTCAGCCACTCCTCATAAGACTTATGCTCTAGACCCTTCACCAACTTTGCTGCCCTTCGCGGGACCTGCTCCAGCAGCTCCATGTCCTTCTTACACTGGGGGCCCCAGAGCTGAACACAACACTGCAGGTGGGGTCTCACCAGAGTGAGGTGGAGGGGGAGAATCACCTCCCTCGTCACACTTCTCTTGATGCAGCCCAGGATACGGTTGGCTTTCTGGGCTGCATGTGCACACTACTGGCTCATATTCAGTTTTTCATCTACCAACATCCCCAAGTCCTTCTCCGCTGAGCTGCTTTCAATCCCTTCATCCCTCATCTTGTATTGATACTGGGAATTGCCACAACCCAGGTGCAACCCCCAACCTTGCACTTGACCTTGCTGAAATTCATGAAGTTTGCACCGGCCCACCTCTCCAGCCTGTCCAGATCCCTCTGGATGGCATCCCTTCCCTCCAGTGTGTTGACCACACCACACAGCTTGGTGTCATTGGCAAACTTGCTGAGGGTGCACCCAACCCCACTGTCCATATCGCCAAAGATGTTAGACAGCACTGGTCCCAGGGCCGACCCTTGAGGAACACCACTCATCACTGGTCTCCATTCAAACATCAAGCCGTTGACTCTGAATCTTTGAGTGCGACCATCCAGCCATTTCCTTACCCACTAAGTATTAGCCCTCAATGCAATCAGGATATCTCTGTGTTTCCTTGTAAACAGGTGTACATGTAGATACACCTGCTGCCAAGTGACTTCATCTCCAACACAGCACCACAGCAGCTCAACATTGTTAACCAGCAGTATGACACTCAAAGTTAACAGTCATGTTCTCCAGACTGTTCCCAAGCAGAGATACCAGGTCTACTAAAACTCCAAGGGCAGCATGCTTTCTGGAGGATACTAGTGGAAGTGAGAAACAAACTTAACTCTATATCAACTCCACAAAACTGCACCTGCGTGGACAACTTTGGGAGCTGAAGACCTTAAGAACAGTGACTTTTAGAATCACAGGCAGCACACCTGAGAAGTAAGGGCCTTTGTCACTAACTTGGAGGCAGGGCCAGTGGTAGGCTTTTTGATGCTTTCCAGGCTTGCCACCAGGTCATGAGCAGCTTAGCCACAGCAATCACATAGCTGCCCAGTGTCTTATGGGACACAGCTGGCCAGTACCAACCCAGCACATGAAAACCTACCTCTACAGGCATACAAGCAATGCTGTCAGCAAGCACTGCATCCTTCTCAGAAAAGGGGAGCATGAATGTTTAGAGATGCCACAAGCAAAACAACTCTCTGCCACTGATAATGGTGCTCCCCCAACTTGTCAGACATCGTTCTGGCAGTTGGATCAAGCTTTTGGTAACCTCTCACCAGCAGCCAAAGATTCATCCCACATCATCCCAACAGCTTCTATTTTTTTTTTAAGCAGAAAGATAATTCATTAACATCAGCAAAGAACCCAACTGCAATAACCTCTGCGTGCCTTTGCTGCCAAGCCAGGGTGGGTCCAACTCTGCCAAATTAGAGACACACAGATAGCAGATGGTGTCCATTATGGCTTCTCACAAGCACCCTCCCAGACAGACAAGTCTAGGAGACCTGAAAGAAGAGATGACCACTCAGGGAGAAAATAACTTCTTCTAGCATCTAAGATGCACAGCTCAGCTATAGCTCAGTCCAAGGGAAACCTACTTGCCATAACCTCCCAGGCATCCATTAGTGACATAAATTCTTGAATCACCTAGTCGGCTGTCAAGTGTCCAAGTCTCAAAGAACTGAGAAAGGTGCAATAGAAATCAAGTTACCCAATTCCAAAACAAGTCAGAACAATGCTTCTATGCATACAACCCTCTTCCCCACATTTTCATGCTATGTTTTTCACCAGATAAGCAGTCAGGTCAGACAAGATTTCCACAAATATCACCATTTCGCACCCAAAGGTCTTCCACCAGTACTGATCCACTCATATTTCCAGACAGTCCTCTATTCTCTGCCATCCTCCTTACAAACACCACATGGTCCAGGAGTCTGTCACATTTTCAGCATTACAGAGACTATCATTACACAGCCGGCTGCACCCACCCAAGCTCTAACTCTGTCTGGAGCCTACCGCAATGATCTGTCTATGGCAAGCAGGAGCAATAATGGCGCTCTCTTCAGGGAGCCTGCGTATGTCCGCACTGCCATCTAGAGGATTGCTGCCACACTCCAGTCCACCCTGTAGTTTACAAACAGTGTCTATGGAAGGACAGCACAAATGGTCTTCCACTAAGACAGCAGCAGGGAAAAACGCAGACTAATAGCAGCATGGTCTTTTTTTCAGGACAGTGACAGAAACAGGAAAGAAAATGCCCACAGGCATGATGAAAGGATAATAGGGTGTGCACAATGCAGTCTGTGACAAAAGACAAAACCTGTTACCACAAAGATTTTTGTTATCATTTGCTCTGGCTAATAACAGGGGTACAACTTTACTCCTCTTGATCTAAATCAATTCTATCCTGCTAAGGGTACGGTATCAATGATCAGAGAATCAATATCCTTCTACAAAGATTTTCTGTTCCATGCAATGGGAATTCTGACCTCTCACATTGCTGCTCCCCTTCTATTCCAAATTACTAAGAAGTGACACACCAGTATAACTATTTCACTTTAATCTTTGTGTATTTATCTTCTAAAACTTGCTGAACTACTGGGACAACAAACAGGACAAATACTCATGGTATCTACTATGACAGCCTTTTGAGCATTATATACAACCTTATGTTATAATGCACACAGGTTTGAATAAAACTAGCAATATTTACATCACAATCTAGTTACTGTGCAGAGCAATGAGAACTTTTAAATGTATCTCAAATAATGAAAGGCACAAAGGTAGAGAAGTGTTCAACAGCTAGTTAAGAGGCAATAAGCTTAGTAGAAGACGTTCATGTCATATATGCTAGGAGTAGCGTTCCCTCAGATTTTATTCCTCCTGATGAAAATACCATATCTATCAGGGCACAGGTGTGATCTGATGTTACTGTTCATAGCTTCACTTGAGGGGAAAAAAAAAAAAAACCTGTTGCAATGCCATCCAAAGAAAAGCTTCACAGCACTAAGGAGAACCTTACGCTGGAATGCTGCCTATATGGGAGGGAAGATGAAGGAAGAACAATGTCAGCAAACTACAACTGCTAAATGAGCCTCCCTGATTAGTTTCAACTCTAAAACATCTGCAATGTAGCAAATCATCAAATTTCTAAACACATATGGACATCGTAGAGTAATACACAGTGAAACTATTTTAATTCTTGTCAGGTTTCAACAGATTTGCCTTTATCATGCTGCTTACGATTTCCAAACAGATGAACATACCATAAAGTTATATTTAGTTATGTAAGAGACAATAACACTTCGTGGCTTTTAAAAATAAAAGGAGATTAATTCAGGTGCTTGGAATTTACTGCTGAAATATGAAGCAGTTACACAACTTACAATCAAGGTCAGGCAAACTTCTACTAATAAAGATAATTCATGGTAAGAAAGACACAAGCTGCTGAATAAAACTCATTGGCTGATCGTCACAAGCCACAGTGACATCCTTGAAGGCTTTTATACTCAGTGTAACTGCAGCACAAGTAGCTGAAGAACAAGAGATAATACACGGGTTCATTTTTACAGATCAATCCATCCCATGCTGATTTCATGCTTTCAAATATGAACTGTATTGTACAGACATACTTCTTCAGTTGGAACCAGTAGAATATAAAAAAATACAAGGTTTTTTTCAGAAAAACATCTTGCTTGACAGTTTGTATTTCAGTACTAACTTCAACTGCAGTTTGATGTAAACAAAAAGTACAGTTCAATAATCTGAATAGAGAGGTTTAAAGTAAAACAGCAAGTCATCTTCCCAGTCCCGCTCATTGGCACCACAGCAACACACAGAGTGAGTTTTGGACTCCACTATGCCACACAATTGACAAATAATATTGGAACATGCAGAAGGTGAGATTACCTGTACTGTAACTGGCTTAAAAAAACTCAACCAACAAAAACACAGTGAAAACCCTGGGACATACAGTGGACTTAGGGCATCATTTTACATCATTGTTAAACTGAGTAAATAGCTATTTGTCACTTCTCTTGCTCACTATCTTCTCCCTACGGCACTTTCTCATTGTTTTTCTTCCATCATATCTGATGCATACCTGACACCTGAGAAGAATATTTAGAAAGATAAACCAGCAGAAAGCTAAACTTACCATCATAGTAAATAATACTATTTTTCTGTGGGCTTAGCAATCTGTGCCAACATGTTCCAGAATTAGAGAAACTCCAGTACCTGGCAGGAAAAAGGGGGAACCTTCCACTGGCAGCTAAAGTTGGATCAGGTTAGTTGTGCTGTGAAACCGCACCCAAATCACATGGAAGTCAAGTGGTATTTATGATCTAAAACCACATCTAAATGCTGCCATCTTTGAGCAATATGAATTTAATTAAAAATATTTTTTTTTATGTAGGCGGGGGAGTAAAAGGCAGCTATTGCTCAAAAAGTCTTAAAACAAAAATACAACTTACTGATCAGAGTCATAATAATCCATGCACTTCTTTTTCTTATTATAAGCTGCAACTCTGAAGGGTACAATTTCCAGTGCTCGGAGGCCTGGAGCCATTGTCAACACTTTGGCACCATGGGTTGGTTCATAGAGATCCTTCCCAGTGTCAGGGTGTGGCATCCCTGCTGGATCTCGCCCTACAATGTAGAAGTTAGCTCCTGCAACCATTCGTGATCTGCAGTGCCACTGAACCTAGAACAGAGACAGGGAAAAATAGTTAACAGAGGAAAACGGTCAAAATATGACCCTTAAAATGTGCATGCATTGTATAATTACCACTTTTTCCCTAATCAGACATGATTTTTACTATGGAGCCACAACAAAGCAAAGAATCAATTATATGAATCGCTACCAAACTTACAGCTAAGGCATACTATTCCCCTGTTTCATGTGCACATTAGGATATTCTAAAAATTACTTAAGAACAGTGTTTAGAACAGTATAGTCAGGGCCAGAAAGATGGAGCTCATCCATTTCTTAGTGCAGTTCCTGATGTTGTCACCCTCCATCCCTTTCCTTTATATAAAAAGATTAACACAAAAGTAACAGCTTTGGGAAGCTTAGTGGGATCTAGCTGTATATTGCTCTATTTTAATCACAGTAATTTCTCCAAAAAGACACCCTGACCAACAGATAGCTGCCAAACATCTCATGGGAAGAAAGACAAGACAGGCCACTTAAACACAGTGTTCACGAGTGATCTAATCAACCTACCATTAAAAAAGAAAAATTACCCATGCTCAGCACTTCCACCTGGTGCATGTGGCAAGGATGTTGTTTAACACTTAGACTGCATCAATACTAAAACCCAAAGGACATATAAACTAGATACATACTGCACTTGAATGCTTGGAATACGCTTTGAGAGCACTAACACTGCCTATTTATATACCACAAGCTTCCAAGATGAAAACTGATAAAGCAACTCTAGCTTTGATAAATATTCAGTTACTTCCCCCTCCCCTTCCCCCCGCCCTGATCACTTTGAAATAATTTTATTCTAATACATCTACATGAACTGGGAAGGAATCAATGTCAAAATCAGAAACTAGCTTTACTGAATTTTTGTTTGGATGCACCAACTCCCTTCCACCTAATATTTGAAGTATTTTAAGTATTGACAAACAGCATTCCTACATTACTTAGCTGCAGGTTTCAGAATGAGTAGTTTCATAACTAACAACTTGATTTTTACTTTTTTCCTTATAGCTCAACTACTACTGAGGTTAAAAAAAGATACTTCAAAGGACATTCAGCAGGCAGACTATTCAATCATCTGCACCCTACAAAGAAATGCTTTCAAATTATTTAGAAATGCATCTCTTTTACTAAATATGGTGAAAAGATTTTTTTCTCCCAAAGACTGTTTGCAGTATTTACTAGATCCTAGACTGTTAGATATGTTACGCTCATGACAGTTTTTAGACTTATTATGTTAATTTTCTTAATTCATTTTTATCTGTAATATTTCCAATAGAAAATTTAAATGTGCCGTACAGGAAAAGTAAAATAACTATTACATTACTTTAGGTGACAAAGACACACCACTTCATAAAATGTCAGTATGTTCTCATACTGGGAAGTATTCCCCTAAAAATTTGCCATACCATTTATATAGCCTAGTATCTGCCACAGGATACTCAGGAAGAGTTTTTAAAAAGTGGCAAGTATGTAACAGTAGTTTCTCACATGGGCAGCCTTACCTTCACACAAAACTAAAGGGCCTACCCAGTAACTACATAGGGTAAAACAGATTCACCAGTTGAGCAGTAATACACATCTGTCAAAACATCTGTCAAGCACTAAAGGGAAAAAAAAGAAAGGGAGGCAGGAGGGAAAAAACCCACAAATCACAGGACAGAAGTTGCTGCCACTACCTTCTATTAAATGGACAATGTGATGGATAAATTTTCCTTCCATTACAGAAAAAAAATTGCATCTGCCTACTGCAATACATGTTTCATATTTTAGTCACTGTGCATGCTGTTCTATGTAAATAAGCTTTAGGCAAGAAGCTCAAAAGTGATTTCTCAAAGTAGTAACTAACTGTTACTTTTCTACATTACTTCCGTAACTAATCATTGTAGAATCCATTCAAGGAGGAAGTTCTGCAGTCAATAAGGACAGAGTTCTGTAATCAGAATTCAAATAATCAAATTAGGAGCCAGCCATGAGTTATGAGGGTACCATTGGTATCAGTTCTCATCTTGACTATAGCTAGACATCACACATGACCGATTCCACTGCTACTGAAACATATAGGGTGCTATGGAAGCATTTGGATGCTGATAGACATGCTAATACTTTTAATATTTATGTTACAAGCACATAGCAGGCCATACACATGAAATTCCAGCATACCACAGCAGCTATCAGCATATTTTCTGAAACTACTCTAGCATAGTTAAGAAATTTAAGTTTTGTATGTCATTTGGGTAACAGCAAGTAAGAACTCCATTTCAAATAAGTGAAGTTACTTGACTACGACAATTTAGAACAATGTAAACCACACGTTTGAGACATAAAATTAGCAGTTCTTGTCTCATTTCTATACATCCATTCTACTTCAGAACATATTTACTTCCCTAAGCAGGCCAGTTTATTGCATTTTGAGACAGAATTTTCCCTTGTAGAAGGGTTTCTTTTTTTCCCAAGGTAATTATCAGGAATGTTAAAAATAGAAAAATGCAAATTAATGCTTAGAAAACATGTCCATTAATTGTGGATGTTTCCATGCCACATTCATTCTGTAGATAACCATACTAACAGCTGCTTGTTCTTCTGTAAAGCACTTGTGCTACAGAAACAAATCTGGTACCAATGTCTTTTTAAAAGATGTATGGAAAATTATTAAAGTATGAGTCTCTTATTACTTGGCTACAAACACTGTCAGGCTGTACTCCGAGGTCACTGGAAATGCCATATTGGTTAGGAGAAAACTCTTACTCTGTTCAGAATAAGGACTGTGGATTTTGTTCTTCCTCATATACTCACGAATACAAGACTGAAGCAGAAAATTTCTGTCTATGGGGAACACTACAAGATTCCCTACAGTAACTCACTCACATGCCTCAACTAGATCTGGACTATAGTTTTTCCCTCTGGACTGAAAGGCAGCGCAAGGTTTGTTTGATCAGTCAACTGGCCAGCAGAAAGTGACACCTGTCTAATTTAATTCCACTGGTGAGATCCACCATCTATCAAAGAGCTCCCACAGAGCTCATCTCTTGAGCCTGGTCAGAATTTGAACCTCCTGTGACTCATGGGGGCGGGAAGGTAATGAGAAAGAGAACCAATATCCTCTAAGGAATTGCCCTCAAATGAGAGCATTTATTCTCTCTGCTGCTTCCCACAAACCTCGAGGGAACCCAACCCAAGAACTAGCTTCTAAATGTCAAAAAGTGTTGCCAAAGAATTATTTCATACAAAAGCCTTGAAACAATTCTCTCCGAATTATGTTTGTCAAAAAATAAACAAAGACTTTTTTTTTTTTTCTTCTAATTTGGGTATAGACCTCCAATATACAAACTTTTTGCTTAACATTCATAAAACTGAAGTATCTTAACATTCAGGACAACTATTCAGTATGTTAACAGAGCTTATCATTCCTTCTGAAAAAGAATGTAAAAAAAAGGAGGAAAGATTAACTCATTATCATACCCTTATAACTGTAAAGAAAGGAGCCCATAAACCCAATATAGTCTCCCACCATTTCCAGCTAAATCCTCCAATATAGAAGTTTCTTCATAGAAGAATGTTTTGGTTGATGACAGATGGAGCCTTTACAGTCTGGTTTCCCAAAGAAAATCAGTGTCCTTTCTCCATTAAAAAAACCACAATGCACAAACATCAGGCATAGCATGAAATACTTCAGTGCACTATCAAAGGGGTTTTGTTTTGTTTTAAACTCTTGATGGATTTACCTCAGTTGGTCCAGCATACATCATGGGGGAAGGGAATATAGCCACCACTGTTGTTTCTGGATTCAAGATTCCCTCCTCCAGTACTGCAGCATGTTGCTTCATGCGCCACATCAGAGGAACGTCATCCTCCTTTGTCCAGCCTCCAAGTGGATGCAAGAGTAAAACTGGGCGCCGGTAGCCACGTTCCAAAAGCTGCTTATGAGTATCCTGCATTAAAAGAGCATGCCCGTTGTGCACTGGGTTGCGTAACTGGAATGCAAAGACAGCATCTATAGAGGAAAAACCAGACAAAAGATAGAAGGAAAGCAAGTTATTCTTTCAGGAGTTGTACAACCACAGGAAAAAAATCTTCAAACAATACAATCTCTATTCTGAACTCTATTAAACAAGTATAATAGCAGTAGTCACAGGTCATTAAAGGATTATGAATTATTACAAAATCATTATATTCAATAAGCAAAACTAATAAAAACCAACCATACTAAAAAAGCCATAAATCAGCTTCCTTCATTTTTGAGAAGGGTTACTCTAGTTTCTCCAATAGCTATAATCTTCTCTTTGGATTTTTTCACTTGCATGAGCATATAATATAAAGTTAAATTCTAAGAGGAAATCAAAACTATGCTACCTATTTTAAAGGCTCAATGCATCATTAGGAGAACAAATGGACACGTTTGCAACCAAATGAATAAAAGCAGATTTAATGTGTCTTAATAAGTTTCCTTCATCTAAACACCTTAGCAAAGTTTACGCACAGTAAGAACAAAGGAAGGCTAACTGCTATTCCGAAGTACAAGCCCTTCGATGAAACCTGGAGTGTAGGAGGTTCCACATTAACATAAGGAAAAACTTTTTCACTGTGAGGGTGACAGAGCACTGGAACAGGCTGCCCAGAGTGGTTGTGGAGTCTCCATCTCTGGAGACATTCAAAACCCACCTGGACACATTCCTGTGTGACCTGCTCTAGGTGGTCCTGCTCTGGCAGGGGAGTTGGACTAGATGATCTTTTGAGGTCCCTTCCAGTCCCTACCATTCTGTGATTCTGTGAAAAGCCCTTTGACACAACCAGAATTTCTCCCTTCTGCAAATTAAGATGTAGGTACCCCACAAGACAGCAAAATCACCTTAACCACGAGGCTTCCCAATAAGGAACTGATGAAATCTAGAGAACAGGGTTTTTTCAGGTATCAAATACACTTATTTAGGGGCTAGCTAAAACAAAGACTGGTATCTCAAACCTGAAGATCCTGGATATACAGACCACACTGAAAAAAAAGACACGACCTCAGGACCAATCTCTGTTTGCATTCTTGTTGTTAATCTCTTCCCTCACACTCAGAAGTGCTTGGCACCTGCCTGCCAACCACTGCTAGAATGAAGACAGTATATGCTTGACGGTTCTCTGCTTTATGACATTACTTAGCCTCTTATTTATCTGCCTAACATAACTCCTTTAGTAAGAAAAACTCTTTTGTTTCACCTGCAATATAAAGCTGGCAGTCAACTCATAATTTTTAAGTGTGGAACATTCCACTTTACACCAGTCTACTTGCATTACCGTCATAAGCTTTGCTCCCCAGAAGCAGCATGGAACTGACTTAAAAATAGAAGAGCATGAAAGCTCAGCACTCAACCACACCTCTACTGTTTTAGCCAGACCTGATAATTTTTAAATTACGTTCAACCACATTTCAACATTATCTCTTCTCGCATTATTAACATGTCTCATGTGCATGGAAAGATAAAATTCAGACACTACCAGCTTCTCTTGTGTGTTTAGGCAATGCAATGCCTCAGATCCTAAAAATTAATACCAGTAAAAGGCAAAGAATGCCACCCAAGAGAGCATTCAAAAATCTTCATCGTTGAAACAATACCAGCCCCTGTAGTAGCACTTGAAGCAGTAAGCATTTGGATAAACCTTTGCAGGAAGAAACAGAACAAGAAAAATTTACTCACCGGCATTCATTTCCTTGAATTTCTGCCTTAGTTCAGCTGGAGTGAGACGGTATTGATCAAGTCCATCATTCCAATAAATACGATCAAGGACCTGTAGATCTCCACCTACAAGCCAATTCCCTTGCTCCATAACCATCTAAGAAAAGAAAGCAAAATCCTTGTTAAGATTGGTTGTCAGCTTCTCCTGAGCATCTAAAGCATGAAATGCGGACACATCTTTACCAAGTGAAGAGTTCCAAGTTAATTTTATTTGACAGTCTCAAGTCAAGCATCAATATTTAAATAAATAAATAAATAACTCATCACTAGAACATAGTCCAGTCATGTTATACCATGGCACAGGAGCGATGCACAAACCTTCAGTAGGTATATGCCTTTATTCCAAATTAAAGAATTTTTTTAGTATATAGAAATGCAAGCAGCCAGTATTCTTAACCAAATTATTACATGACAAAAAGAGAGTGTGGCTGGAAAGCCTAATGTATGAAACACAATGAACAGTTAATGACAATTGCACACTTCACAGTTGCTGGTCAAACAAATGCAGTTCCAGTATCACCCTGCAGTTCACAAGATTCTGGTCAGTAATAAAGTAACAAATAAAACAGTTCTGATTAACTACTCACCCACTTCAATTTACAAATAAAATCGGGATCTTTGAAGTAGGACAGCTTTTGGGTTTGTTTCATGGTAGCATTTTACCAAGGCAACGTATATTGTACACTCATTAGAATTCTTTTGGTATCTTCAAGTATCACCTCACTCTTCATCAAAACATAATTATGGTAAGTTGCTTAACATACTCTAGCAATGGCCATAGAAATCACTCAAACTGTTAATTTCTGAGAATGCATTTGCTTTTGAAGATGGAACCACAAAGAACTTCCAAGTCTCATACACATTTCTGATAATTTAGAAAAGAAGCCTTATGTAAAGATGACAACAAATGTGGCTATAACGTAACACATTACACGCTAAACGCACAAGCTAAGATGTTAAAATTAAGTGTAGGTTTTTCAATTTATTTTTGCTCTGAGATAGAGGACCTGCTGGAATTAAATGATATGACAGTCACCACCTCCTTCCCAAAGAAAATGCCAGACTTTCATATCTTACCAAGGCAGGGGGAAAGTGGGATACAGATATGAAGATGAGAAAACTCTGCACGATAGGAACTCTCAGGCACCCAAAGATTTCTGATTAATTTAGAAGGGCCACCAGATTCACGTGCTGTCATAACACTACCATGCACACATTCACATGCTGTCATGATACTACTATACACCCCAGCACAGACATAAGAACGTCGTTGCTCATCTTCAGCATCAGTTTCAGCCATGTCATTCTGTAATTACTAATGTGTTATAACAAGTCATTCAAATTTTGTCTGCATAAGATTTCCTTAGAATTTCTCAAATGTGTTAAGTTTTCAGCACGAAACATACCAAGGGCTTTGAAAATCTTCCAGAATACTCTTACTTGTATCTAGCAGGTGACATCCTTTTTCAGATATACTCCTGAATACAACTTCAGTCAGTAAAAGCACGCCATTACACATTAATTAAAAAAAATTACACATTAATAAAGAATTAAAAAAATCCATGGTTTTCACATATGTATTAGTCATACAGATACTTTCAGAACACATCAAAGGCTTTCCCTTTTTAAAAGCAAGCTCATGGTTTGAGGTTTGTTTGATTTCTTTTTATGTGATTTTAAGTCACAGTTGTAAACAAAATTATACTACAGAGACAAATGGGAAAAGAAACATATTTGGGCCCTGCAGAGTTAAGATGCAACATTTACACCAGCTTGCAAAACCAAACACAGCATTGCGATGAGTGTGTTACAATTGGAGTATTTCAGTATGACACTCACATAAGGTCAAGATAATAAAACAACTGAACACAACAAATGGGAAATAACTCCCTGGAGAGTTAAATGATGAACTCTCCAGGAACACGGTCTATTTCAAAAGCATCTAAACCAGGCAGTTCTCACATGCTCCACATGCAAGCAGAACAGAAGTCTTCTTGCCCTCACAATGCATATATCCGCTGATTAAGGAGCTTTGATGCTCCATCTGGCTACACAGAGGGATATGTTTCCTAGGCACACTAGAGGGCAAAGTTCCCTCTTCTGTAGCACAGATTCTACGGTAGATTCTAAATTCATTTCATGTGTACAAATTGACATTGGATTGTCCCACTAAGTGCAGACTATTCAACAGCAGCATAAAACAAACAAATAGAAAAAGTCACCTTTGTTTCTGCTCAAACGTTTTAGCTAGTTCTCACAGCAGTTTTGCTGTCGAGACACACCAGTCGCAGACTTCATCTTCACTTAATTTGCAGCTCCACAAACAGTACGGCTAATAGGACTAGATTTGCGACTTTTAAACACACACCTTGATATAGGGATGTTCCTTGCATGTTGTTCCCCATTGCCTAGCACAGCGTTCCTCTTTCCTGTGTTCATAGAATTCGGGATTACGGAGAATGGCCACACGGCGACCCTCATACACCAGTGCAATTGCTGTACATCCATCCAGTCTTTCTTTGTCTTCTTGAGTAGCTGTCAGTACTATAGGCACCGAGAGATTAATAACGCCCCCTGCAGAGTGAAGAAAAAACCAAAAGCCCTTATCCTTAGTAATGGTCATCAATGATATCATGAAAATCTACCCTCATAACAAGTTACAGTCCAAGCTGTGAGTGTATGACAACAGCTAGTTCAATTACCCATTTTAACAGGGGTTAAAAGCAACTTTTAGAATGAACTCTTGCATAAGGTACGTGTGCTATAAAAGTGTGCAAGCACCGAGGTTTGAGAAAGAGCAGACATTACTGAAAATAGCAAGTACTTATAGCTGCATACAAGTATTCAGACTTTTTTGGAATCTCAAATTAGTATGTTGTTCAAGAAGCTATATAGTAAGCAGAAACACACACTTAACATTGTTAAATACATCATCAAAAATATTAGGCAAGACTGCTACTTCAGTGGATAATAAGTAAAAAAGAAACAGCATTCTCGGTAGCCATACGCTCCGTCCATAAAAGTTCAATGCGATAGAAGCAGCCAAATGTGCCCAAGTAATTAGCATATGTAATTCAACTATTTCAAAAAGTGACTTTTGCTGTTTACTCATAACTGTATTTGGATCCAAGCACATACATTTCAGAAAAAACTATTGAGTCGGGCAGACATTTTGCACAGTTTGTTCAGCTGAAAGCTTACCAGATACTTTACTTCACAAACTAAACCAATGTATCTGAATTTTAAAGTTATGTGTGGTCCTCATTTTTAAGCATTTACTTCCTTGCTAGATGCTGGAAGCCTTGTTTTTCTTGACTACAAGAGTGAGATTTGAGAAACTCAGTGGAGTAAACACTCCAAGTCTCATAGAAAGGCTTGAATTCTAATGAGCATACATTTGCTGAAGAGTGCAATACTTTTGGGTGGTCTCCAGGAGAAAAGTCATGGGCCCCTTGAAGTTAATGGGGGGTTTGCTACTGGGGCCAAGACTCAATAAGGCTGATTTCCCTGTCATTTGAGCAATACATTTTTTATAACCTTCCCTCAATTTCACCTTATGTGTGGTAGGAAGTTAAAAATTATGAAGCTGGATAAAAGCTTAAGAGAAAAATAAGTCCCCCCTTCCTTCATAATGCAAAATCAAAGACATGCTGCACGTCACCTCCTAAGTTCAGTGCTCAGAGTTATTTTCAAAGCAACTAGGACACAAAATTAAGCTTGGAAACAGCCATGGAGAAGGTGATTTGCCACCCCTAACTCGATAATGTAAAAAATCCTTTTGCTTTGTGAACAAGTAAATAAACATTCCAAACTGGGAAGAGACCTCAAACCTGTTGATTATTAAAGTTTTGTGAGCAACCAATAACAAGCATATAATATCTTTGACATCTGTCTTCAGCCACTGTGCAAATGAGAAACTGAGGCAAAGTAGTGGAGTGAGTTTGTTAACTCACAGATAGTCTCAAGCTGACACTGTGCTTATTTCAGATAACTTAAGCTTTAAAGTGAGAATATCAACACACCTGCACTGATCTCCGTGGTGTAGAAGTCATTCAGTATGAACATTGCATTTAGAGCCCAAAGGATGAGATACATTGTAGGTGTTCAACAACTTCCCTCTCTTCAAAACCAAAACCCTGGAAAATGACTGCTGCTATGAGACTCCAGAACTAACATATTAAGAAGGGAATAAACTTTGAGGACGTTTTGACTTAACCATTGCCACTGCTTCCAGTAGCAATGCAGCAATCGCATTTTTCTAAAAAGGTTCTCGTACATAAATGTTGCAGCAGATATCTACTAAGAGGAAATATGGTAGCATCTAGAGGAATTTGACTGTTCTACTCAAGCTTAGGACTGAAAATTGTTTCCATCAATAAGTTCTTCATTATTTTTCATTACTCTTTTTTTTGCAGCACACAAGGTACTAAAAACAATTGCAAAAGAAGTTTGAAAACTTGCAATATTGCCATATCTGAAACGTTCACCTATACAAAGTCTTAAAAACCTTATAAAAATCCTGATTTACAGAAGATTACAGGGCAGAATAAGGCACTACAAGCTATTTTAGCAGTTGAACGCATAGCATGCCATCTGCAGAGTACGTTTCACCTGGATGGACACACAGAAGGCAAACAGAACGAAAACAAAACTAGCAGTCCAAAATGATACTGCAAACTTTAGATACTCCAAAATAACACGATGGCATTATGTGGCCAAGGATAGTATCAGAGAGACTTATTGAAAAAGGGAACTAGAAAATGTAAGAGGAACAACAGATGTCTTTCAGTTCTGTGATCCAGACAAGTGACATGTTTTTTTCTGCTATTTGGTCTCCAGCAAGAGAAGAGTAATGCAGAAGGAAGTGGGGAGAAGTATTTTTTACTATCCCTCTTTGATACAGAGTGCAAAAAAAACCTAAAAGACTGAAGTAAATCAGAGTCTTCAAAAAGGAATAAATGAAAAAATGACAGAGGATCAAATTCCAAAACCTGAGGATGTTATCACTTGTTGACTTACACAACTGGAAATGCAAAATAAAAAATATATTCGTTTAAATCATCACAGGATAATTACTAAGTCATAGTAATCAAATTAGATGTGACAACACTATATTCAAGCCACATCCTCAAATTCTGATTTAATACTTGCTCCAGCACTCAAGTCAATTTGTTGTTCTTTTTCATTACTATTGCAGAACAAATCTTTTAGCACACAGAGCTAAACCACAATTAAATTGCAATTCTGAAATCTAATACCAATTTCTTCTACACAAATTAGAAATGTGGATTTTTTAGGTTTAAATGTGTTTCAAAATTAAAAACATTTGCAAAGGCAAAAAGACAAGACATTCAAACTCTAACATGATGGTAGGTATAAAAAGAACAAAACCATCAAGTTTAAAACTGATGATTGTAATATCCTATTCTCTTACCCCAGGTTGCGCACAAGCTTCATAATGCGTTAGCACACCACCACTAAGCAGCAAAGCATCAACAACAGTTTAGAAGCAGGATTAGTTTGGTCAGTTTTACAGATGGTAAGTTTTACCTTACCATCAAGGAGACAGTCAAAGTGAAGGCACTGCAGGTATTCTCTCTCTCTCATAAAGCCGTTCAGGGGTGTTGCCCAACCTTCTGCTAGCACTTGCACCCATTGCATATCCACCTTGTAAAGAAATGGAGAAATAAAGCAGATAAAAGTTGCATTCTTGCTTAAAGATTGACATCAGGTAGTAATCATAATAGATCATCATTTACCCACAAAATGCAGCACAGCACAAATAGAAGATTTCTCAGTATTACAGTTTTTAATCACAAAGAAGTTTCTACAAGTAAGCAAAAAAGAACAACTTCTTCCTCACTCTTCATATCTTTGGCTATTTTCCAGTCCTTATACTAGATCAAATTTCCATGTGTTAAAAAACAAAACAACAAACAAAACCCACAACAACAAGCTTTATTTGTAAATGTTTGATAAAGTTCATCTTAACAGAAATAGACTGTCTCACTTGCATTTATTTTTTTAACATAGCAAGATAACCAAGAGGTTAAAAAAAAAAACCCACACCACATACAATTACCAGAAAAATATAAGAATTATGGGGATGAATATTAAGAGGTCAAATCTTAAAACAGATTAGAAAGAAAATTTTTATTGCAGAAACTGGTGAGACAATCCAGAAGTAAAATTATCTTGGGACTAGTACTTACTTATTTTAGTTTAAGAGGTATCAGTTTATGGGGAATTTCCTTCCTTAGCACTGAAACAGTCACATTATGACTTAGTGTGTGGCCTCTATTATTTCTGCATATGCATTACTAAGACTTGGTCGTCTTTGACAAGGGCAGGTTTTGCTTGTCCAAGTCTCTTTAGCAAAGACCATGACTAATTTTATTACACTGTTTATGCTGAGGCAAGTACAACACACATTTTCTTCCCAAGCTTACGTTATACACTTATACACTTGCTTGATATTTAACAAACCACTGGTTGCAGGTGTAGTGGGAAAGGATTTGTTTTTCTAGATAGGGAGCAATTTAGAATAGGACACTACAGGAAATTAATAACCATGACCTTAAATATTTATTCCTTATCAAAGCAATAAATAAGTTTTACAGACACATATATGAAAGGAATCAAGTAAGACGCAGTGAAAGGCAGTATTAAAATTTATTACTAGTAGAAGGCTAGGCAAATTTTAAAACTATTGAATTCAGTGCTTAGTCTGTCATCTCAATCATTCAAAGTCGAGTTAATCACTAAGATGCTCAACCCCGAGCTTAGTCAGCTCCTAGATCAAATGCTTAGCTTTGAGTTCTAGTAATACTATTAAAAAGCCAGTGAAAAAACTCATGCATTGTAGCTGTGTTTAGGCCTAGTTCTTCAGAAAAAGAAGATAAGGTAGAACAGAAACACAGCCAGAAGCAGCTTTGTCTAATTTATCTGAGTTGGAAAATAATGCATTTAATCAGAATAAGAACAGAGTTGATCAAGTTGATCCATTTTCTCTGCTAGAAGCCAGAAAAGTAGCATGAATATGTTCTAACTAGGAAAAAAAAAAAACAAACCAAACAAAACAAACAATAAAGTAGATCTGATCATCTCTCTGTAGACTTAAGATTGCAGCTGTTTGAGCCTGGTTACTATTGTTCAGCTGAAGGTTACCAACGAGACGAATCAAGAACAGTAACTTATTTCCTTCATATTTCTAGGTCATTGAAATTCAAAATAAAATGGTTTGTATAAGTAAACTAAAAAAAAAAGTTAGTAATTCTTCTAGAAACAACTACTCATACAAGACACGCCAGGCATAGTTTAGTCCATGGATGGCAGGGAGGGTCTGTGGAGGGATGGGAGGAAGTCACTGAGTCACTGTAAATTTAATCTCCAGGCTTGGGATAAACTAAGTAACACTATATCAGACATCATTTATGAAATGACAAAGATTCAATTGCTATGTCTAGTTAAGTGATCAAAGAAAACACAGATGCTGGGATTTCTCTCAAGAGAGAAAAAGTATATCGAGATACATTCTGTAACCAGTACAGGTATTTCAACTGTATCTACTTCCACTGAGCAAGATTAGACTGTCTTTCAGCTTCAGCAATGAGACAACTGAACGCACAATACCTTATTTATTTCCAAGGTTAACAGAGACTCAGCATCAGTTTTGGCCAACTGTAGCTTGTTTTCTGGCACATAAAGCTCTTTCACCTCATAAGAGGCATCCACCGGTACGATGTCCTGTATAAAAGGAACAAACAGAACAACGTTTGCTCACAATGCTTCTTGGACACTGAAGTCATGGTCAAGAAGTAAAATTCTAACGTCACACTACTCTGTAGCAAGAGCTTATTCATTCATTACTCATTTAAAAACCATCACTGTTCTGAGATTATGATATATTGCTAGCCAAGCTTCCGGCTTGAGTAACTGAAGTGAAACATTCTGACAAGAGATATTTTTCTAAACCTTAAGTGCCTGAATAACATTTACCTAGTAAATATTTAACTATTGGATTAAGTGCAGTTTTTATGACTTCTCTACAGGAGGAAGGAAGACTCTATGCTTTTACACTTTCTAAAGAAGTAAAAATCAGTTTTGGAGACTGAGAATTTATAAATTTAAGTCATTCACTATAAAACATATATTAGAAGTGTTAACATAGAGGCAAAAAAAAAAATCTCTTTGCCAACTGAAAGTGATTAATCAGAAATACAAATTAAAAGTGTTACCTAGAGCTAATGATATAACATCAGTGTCGTAATCTATATACTAACAGTTGGAATATTTAAATGAGACCATCTGTGCATATATACATGGAATGAACTGAAATCTAGTTTTATAACCAGAATACCACACAGTATCAATTTGAAAAAAATTCAGTTTTCCTCTTGTTTTAAATAAGACATTCTCACTCCACAATGCTCAAGACTCAAGACCTTAGACTTCTCATATAAGGATAAAAATATAATTTTAAAAAAAGAGGCAGAAGGGAGAAGGCCATCATGATAAAACTTTAAAGTCTCCTCTGACAAAGGTGTCAAATTTCAAAGCCCAGTTCCAGTGATATTCAGTAGCAAAAAAATCAGTGAAAAGCAGCTGAGAGTTCTTTTTAAAATACTTTTTCAGAGTTTTAGAAACTTTTGTAAAGTAATGCTTTACTTTTTGACAAGCAAAGCTCACCCTTACAGCAAAGTAAATACAGAACTATAATAAGAATAAAGAAATTATCTTTATTTTTCCAGTATATGCAGACCAGAGTAAAGATAAATGCCTGCAGGAAACACAAAGTTTGCCCAAGCATTGTAAAGCATTTATCCAAGCATTTATCAGACATTAGGCACTACCTCCAGGGAAAGTAAAACAAAAGGAGTGTGATGATGAAAGCAAGTGGGAGATAAAAGTACTGCAGGAGCAAAAAGACACGGTGAGCCTCACCAGCTGTTACATAATTCATATCTCCAAAGACAAATAAAAGGAAAACAAAATAGCACTTAGAAATTGTGTTTTACTAGGAAAAGCTCAGTCCATTACACAGCAGACATAATTTGGGAAGTTGATTTTATTAGTAAGATAGGCAAAAACCCGCCTTCTATTTTCTCTGCCTGAACAGCAACATTACAGGCCAGGAGAGCTGCAGCGGGGTCTGGCCACAGCAATAAGCCTGGAATCAAATGAAGGTCTTGCCTGCTGTAAAGAACCGCAGACCTTACAAGCAAAGCATGATGACTGAGTACACATTATGCTGCTTCACAGAAGATTCCCCTCTGGACCCCAGTTCATTACCATGCTAGAACGTCCTAGTTTTACAAATCATCAAAAGCTTAAAATAAATGTGCCTATTAAAAAGGGCTTTTTTCAAATATTACCCTGGTTTTAGTGTCCCACTAATGGGCAGAACAATCGAGAAAAAGGTTCCACAATGCAGTTTCTGTCAACAACCTACCTCATTACAAGGATGTACACAGCTTGAAGACAATGAGTCAAACATTTAGAGAATTTGTAGGATTAGTAAACCTACACTTCCTTGCAGACATAAAAATGGTATCTAAACTAACATCTTAGGTTTTTAAAAAAAAAAAAAGCCAGCAAGAGGAATCCACAGGTCTTTAAACTGTACGAATTTTAGGAAAATGCTAGGCTAGCAAGCCATCTAGTGACCACTTTAAGGTAGTAATTTTACTCAAAGGACAATTCTATCAATGGGCAGTTACACAGTACACCTCAAGAGTTATTATTTCTCAATGCATTCATATAAACAATGACAAAATAATTAAAAAAATAAACTAGATGCTTTATGGGAATGTTCCTGCTCTAACTGCACTGGTAGGTTCTTTGCTGATGCTGTCTAACATCCTCAACTGTCTGTAAAGAAAGGGCCTTCAGGCAAGTTTCTGGTAGATGGGCATTCACCAGTGACATCAAATTTACATTACTGAACGACTAGTCTTGTAAGTTCATACTAATTGAGGTGTGAGGCCACTGAATTATTTATATATGGAAAAGACACACAGAAGTGATTGCTCTGACTATAATAATCACTGAAGTTTTGGTACCTACAGCTTGCAGGGAAGTTTGTCAGTACTCCCAAGTATGGGAAAACTGAAAAAAGCAATGACAGCCATGATCTTAACAGAGAGATACAATTTTCTGGACTGAGGGCCTCTTCTCTGCCCGTCAGTTGTGTTCTATCATGTTTTACACTCACGTGAGCCACAGAAACACTCTCCTCTTGTGCCAACAAGAGAAATTTCTGATCCCAGCTATTCACTGCTGTTTCTCTCAAATGTGTAAAGACATCCTTTACAAGTTTGTTTTGGTCAAAGTCAGTCATGTTTAGCTTACATAGTACATCTATATCAACCTAAATCATTTTGACCAAAAACATCTAGGAAATACTCACAACAAACGTGGCAGCCAGCTGCCAAACTGGAGTCTCTGCAACTAACACAGAATGGCTCTGAACCAAATCCCTGTCTGTGCCTTTTCCAAGAATACACAAGTTAACAACAAGAGAAGAAAGCAGAAGAAATAAGTAACAAAAATGACACCATCACAGTACTTAATGATTACACAATTCAGTGTAACTGAAGCTCATTCATTAATAACACCTTCAAAATTATACAAGCTTTTTTACAAATTTGAACTACTGAAATCTACTTCTATAACATTTAGCAGAGTATTTTCAGAAGAAAACAACAACAACCAAAGCATGTATACCTCAAAAATAGGAAATCCTTAACTTAAAATTACAGGAAATTCTGCTTACTTTCCTAAGCATGAGAAGAAAATAATGTTTTATTGATGTGGGAATTACAGAAGTTGAATACTGAGGTGGTTCTTTTTAAGTTGTGCTTAAAAGCTTATACTGGTTTCTGCTCACTCTGGCTTACATCTTTACTGTTGTGCGTTTAAATCTTCGCTGTAACAATATAAAACTAATAATATAATAATATAATATAATAATATAAAACTATAATCTTGCATATCCTTTACAAGGAACATGTGATTTTTCCCCAGCTTCTCACACAAAATAACTATTAGCATTATCACAGAATCACACAGGGGCCTCTGAAGGTCATCTAGTCCAGTCTCCTGCTCAAAACTGGTCCCTGTAGAGCAGGCTGCTCAGGAACTTGTCCAATAAAGTTGAGTATCTTCAAGGATGGAGCATCCACAAACTCTCGGGGCAACTTGTTCTAATATTTGATCACCTTCATAGCGAGAGAATTTTTTCCCGCCTTATGTCTAGTTTGAATTTCCCCCGTTTCATCTTATGTCTGTTGCCCCTCACCTACACTTCTGCACCTCTGAGAAAAATCTTCACCAGTCTTCTCTGTACCCTCCCATTGGTGTGCTAGAAACAGCAACAATATCTCCTTTAGCCTTCTCTTCTCCAGGCTGAACAAGTCCAGGTCCCCTCAGCCTCTCCTTGTACAGCAACGTGCTCCAGCCCCGATCATCTTAGCAGCCTTCAGCTCAACTCACTCCAGTACATCAATGCCTGTCTTCTACTGGGTGAGGGTGAAGGGCACGAACCCGGACATAATATCCAGATAAGGTCTCACAGGTGCCACATAAAACAGCAGAATTGCTTCTCTTGACATGCTGGCTATGCTCTTGCTATTACAGTACAGTATGCAGTTGGCTTTCTTTGCTGCATGGGCACATGTTTTCATAATCCTGACAAACGTTTTTACAATGCTGAACTTACTTCAGTTCTCTTGTATCCTCCTCATGCCTTAGGAAGAGAGATATTTTGTTTAGTTATCAAAAAGGTGAGTTATTCCACATAATGTCAGCACAGATCAAAGTTAAAATGTAGGTATGCTGTAAGTTAAGGTCATTGTAATGTATTTCATGCAAATGCTTACTTCCAGCATTATAAACCATCTATAAAATCCCGATGATCTGCACTTTGTCTTATGAATCCCAGTTAGTCTTAACCAATCACCTTTTGCTGCAGGTATTTGCTTTGAACACTGCTTCCAAACAAGTAACAGTCGTATTCATACAAACTTTCTGCTGAAATGATTTTGAAAGTAGGAGACATGAAACAAAGTTTCATGTAAAATAAAGATTCAGTACCCAGCTAGCAGCTGGGTATAACAAATTGTGTCAAATATACTCTACTGAGTGCCTAATTTACAGTCAAATAATGAAAAAGTGGGCTGAAGACCTGTATTCCCCGCTCTACACAAATGTTACAGATATTAAAAATAGTAACGTTTGCAATACTAATGTTAAAAACTTTTTCAAGTTTCTCAATTAAAAAAAATACTGTAATTCATGTCGACGACCAAGGTGATCACATATTCTTTATTATCAAATTTTTGATAAGTGAATGAGGAACTAGACAAGACTGAGAACTTTGCTCCAGAGAGAATCATTGTGTTGTTGCAATAATAGCTTCAGTATAATTTGAGGTTAAAAAAAAAAACCCACCCCCAAAAAACAACCAAGACCACAAAACCAAAACAAAACAGATGTACAGAACAGCAGAATCCATTTCTACATATTTTCCAGGAACCACCAGCCTCAAGTTTCATATCTTAAAAAAAACCCAAAACACACCCCTGACCTTATAAACCATAACAACAAAGAACAACCCCTAACTGCTAGTCTGCTCCAAATTTGAATACAACTGCAGGGAATTGTGTGAATATAGCTAGGAAATCAGTACTAGAAGATACCATGAGGACCACCTTCCCAAATACAAGCATAACACCAAGCTTAGATAAGAACTTGGCTGTAACTGTTGGGGGATGGGTGGGAGATGGAAGAAGGGACAGAAAGTTCACACACTCACTGCGGATTGATCTAAACAGTAGTAGAAGTGTGTAATCACCTTCCAGTTTGGGGGGTGGTATTCGCAGAGCTGCAGTAAGTTGATGTCCCTAAGAATGGGACTTTTATACAGATGTAGTTAAAAGTTTAAAGTTACCTACTGGAAAAGCAACTCTTCCCTTGTACACTTTTGCACTTCCTTAACATTTAAGTCATTCCTGAGCTATGACTTCAGAAGATATTTTCTGGGCCAAATATTGAACTTATTCCATAGGAATAAGAAATATGAACTTTGTGCAAGGGGCTAGATCAGCTCTATTTGTTGACAGAAAAAACAAGACTGAAAACAACAAAGTATTTACAGCCAAACACCTGCACTAGGCTTGTCTGACTCCACTAGAAAATATCAGTAGATTGAAAGCCAAAGTTATCAAGCTCAAAAGCCACATAAGCCTTTCTGACTGGAAAGGAAAAAAAAAAAAAAAAAGTGTGCAAGCACTGATTCGTATTGTACTGAAAGCAGCTGGGAAAAAGAAAAGAAAGAAAAAAAAATAAAGGAACTTTTCAATGACACTGACTCAGTAGCTTTCCTCCAGAGATACTCATTAGTACCCTGTAGTTTACATCCCTAAAAGGACCTTTGAAATACCTATTGCATTTGCATGCAAAGAAACCAAACAGGTGACTCTCAAAACCAAGTTATATCACACAAGAACTTCCTGGATTCAATAGCTGCTTATTACTTCTATTTCTGTGTGGTTACCTCCCTTTTTCTTCCATAAAAGATTGAACATGTTTTTGGGAAAGATCTGATAAATTTGCTTCAGAGTTCTTTCCAAATATTGTGAAAAATTCTAAGAACCAAATAATTCCACTACCTGTAAAAGAATAATGTTTTAAATTCTTGTTTAATAAATACCTATGTGTGTGTGTTTGTCTACCTCTGTCTCAACACACATTTATACAGTTCCAGCTGTCTTCTCTGTACTGACATTATGGTCTGAACTACTATAAAACCAGTGCTTGAAATTCAAGGATTACAAATACTTTGAGCAGACAACTTCGCAAAGTTTTTCACAGCTATTGAAACAAAACAAACATCCGAAATTATTATTAATGCTGCTGGCCTCTGGTCTTTTTCTTTACTAATCACAATGGATTATTAAGGAAGAATACGGACACAGCTTGTTCCAACTAAAGGAAATCTACAGAAACTATATTCTCAAGATAACACTGTATTAATATGGCCTGAGAACAAGACACACCTGTTCCGCCATGCCTTGGTTTCATGGTCTTTCATTAAAGTAGGCAATCACTAAGACATCTTGGCATTTATGATACTGTTGTCTACAAAGAAAGAAAAGGCGCTAAAATGTGCCACGAGCAAAGCTGACTGGGCCAGGAGCCAGCATTCAACACTGTGCACCAAGTGTACTAATGCAAGACTCTGGGGATCGCTATCTTGGCACACATAACCTTGGTTTCTACAATTATGAAAGATTACTGAATTGTTCTTCTGAGCAGGAGGCACAGGGCCTCCCACAGTTGGGAACTGCTACCTGTAGGTAGGACTCCTACACAGCTCTCGTCTTTTCATTTCCAAAAAATTACTCAGATGAGCATTAGGGTATAAATCTAAAATTCTGCTGTGGTTTTCTGCCCTGTGTCATCTCCGAGAACCTTGAGCAAGCAGCAATCTATTAACAGAGTTTTCTAGAAAATTTAGATACAAGAGACTGAATCCCTCCAAAGCTGCACTGGCACAAAAGGTTAAACTGGCTACATGATGAGGTCTTTTGCTTGTACCAACTTCAACACTTGTCAGAGCTTTACTCAAGCTACTGCCTACACCCTACATTTCCAGAACAGCCACCTTACAAAAACACCATGAACAAGTGTCTGCTAGAGTATCTAAATCAAAATAATTGTCTGAAATGTCATCCCACTACCAATGGACTATAGATGAGAATGTAAGGTGACACATTTCTTTACATGAAGACTAGCAAATTCTGGGGGTATGGTTTCAAGAGGATAAAGCCATCTCATGGCTGCCTTCACTTGTAGTGAGTTTTGGGTTTGGGTTTTTTGGTCTGTTTGTTTTGTTTTCTGTGGGTGGGTTGTTGGGGATTTTTTGTTTGTTCCCTCATGGGTTTTTTTGTTTGGGGTTGGTTTTTTTTTTAGGTTAGGCAATGCGCTGAATCCACTTATCAGACAACAGGGGGAGGCCCGAAGGGTTCAAGAGAGATGGTGTGGATTGCAGGCATGAACAAGGAAAGAGACCTACCTTGTCAGAAGTTAAGAACCATTAACTCAACTCAGCCATGTCAAGACGATCAGCTTCCTGAACTGGTCATTACTTAATTGAAGAACCACTTTTACTAGTTCAAGAAAAACCACGGAAACAAAGGAAACCAGACACAACTACAGCAGCCCCTATTGAAGCCAGATCAAATTACTGTTTAAGTGTATCCCTGTCTCTTCATGTCTGTAGTATACATTAATTTGCACGCTATAGAGACAAAGTGAAAAATTTCATGTAATTTTAAT